ATTTATTATCGAAGTATAGTTGCTGTACAATATTATATAAGTTACAGGTGTACAATATAGTGATTCACACTTTTTTAAGTTTATACCCATTTACAATTATTATAAAATATTGCCTATATTCCCTGTATTATACAGTATATCTTTGTTGCTTATTTTATACCTAATAGTTTGTAGTTCTTGATCCCTACCCCTATATATTGCCCCTCCCCCCTTCCTCTCCCCACTGGTAACCACTAGTCTGTTCTTTATATCTGTGAGTCTGCTTCTGTTTTTTTATATTCACTAGTTGCATTTTTTAGATTTGACATATAAGTGGTATCATATAGTATTTGTCTTTCTCTATTTTACTTATTTCACTTAGCATAATGCCCTATAAGACCATCCATGTTGTTGCAAATGGCAAAATTTTATTCTTTTTTATGGCTGAGTAGTATTCTACTGTGTGTGTGTGTGTGTGTGTGTGTGTGTGTGTGTGTGTATCTCTACACCACATCTTCTTTATCCATTCACCTGTTGATGGACACTTAGGTTGCTTCCATATCTTGGCAATGGTAAATAATGCTGCTATGAACATTGGGGTGCATGTATCTTTTTGAATTAATGTTTCGGGTTTTCTTTTTTTTGGATATATATCCAGGAATGGAATTGCTGAGGCATATGATAGTCCTATTTTTAGTGTCTTGAGACACCTCCACTGTTTTCCACTGCAGCTGCACCCATTTACATTCCCACCAACAATATACAAGGGTTCCCTTTTCTCTACATCCTTGCCAACACTTGTTATTTGTGGTTTGATGGTAGCCATTCTGACAGGTGTGAGGTGATATTTCATGTGGTTTTGATTTGCATTTCCCTGATGATTAGTGATGTTGATCATCTTTTCATGTGCCTGTTACCCATCTGCATTTCCTCTTTGGAAAAATGTCTCTTCGGTTTTTCTGCCCATTTTTTAATTGAGTTGTTTGTTTTTTCTATGTTGAGTTGTAGGAGTTGTTTATATATGTAAGATATTAATCCTTTATTGTTCATATCATTTGTAAGTACTTTCTCCCATTCATTAGGTCATCTTTTCGTTTTGTCAATGGTTTCCTTTGCTGTGCAAAAGCTTTTAAGTTTAATTAGGTCCCATTTGTTTATTTATGCTTTTATTTCCTTTACATTAGCATATGGATCCAAAAAAATATTGCAGTGATTTATGTCAAAGAGTGTTCTTCAATTATATCTCAATAAAACTAGAAGAAAAAAAGAATAGTTCTAATAAAAAAATAAAATGTTCTGCCTATGTTTTCCTCTAGGAGTTTCATAGTATCTGGCCTTACATTTAGGTTTTTAATCCATTTTGAGTTTATTTTTGTGTATGGTGTTAGAGAATGTTAGTTGTTGAGTTCAGTTACATATATTTTAATGCTAACCTGAAAGAGAAAATGATGAAACATAAAAATATACCACACTTTCCCCCTGTTTCTCTCAGCCTATTATATATACCTGGAGATTCTACTTGAATGTTTGCTTCGAGGTTGATTGACCTAATACCTTCTATGTAGAATCTGGACTCTGAGGACTTCTACTCCATAATTGCTAATTGGAAAAAAAAAGGGAGAGAGAGAGAGTCTGGGGCACTCTATGTTGCTAAGCATGGGCACTGAGCTTATGGAGAAAAAGTAACTACTCACTGGACGCACAAGCCAATATTTTAGTAGGATATTCCCAGCCTGAAACTGCCTTGGGTGAAATATCAGTTCTGTGAATTCAGTCAACATGCTACATTTTGTCTGGAAAGCTTTCTAACATTTTAATTAGTATTTAACATGCCTCTTTTTATTTTCATTTAATGCTTGTAGGAGTCTGTGGTCTTATCACAGGGGAAAAGGAAGAGAAAGATGGCAGTATAAGTTTCTTCCCCAACTCCCTGGTAAGATACAAACTTCATTAACAGAATGAATGGAAGCTAACATTGGCAACATTTGGACCTGTGAGCCAATTCAGTTTGCTTCAGCTGTAAATTTGGCTTTTTTGCTTCAATATGCGGACTTTCATTTTTCATTTCTGTTATTTCCTTTTTTCACATCATTTTTATCCTCACTAGAATATAGTCTACCTTATTTTGTTAATTTATTCATTCTTTTATTAATTTTTCCATCCTTCTATTCATCCATCCAGCCATACTAAATACTAACTACTGTGACAGAAGCAGGAGGTACAGAAATGAATATGACATCATTCCAGTCCTTAAACAGTTCCCAGTTCAGTGAAGAGGAAAAACAAATAAAACCTTCTTTTTCCCCATTTATTTCCTTTTTAATTTTTTAAAAATATTATTCAATCTAACCTCATATTTACCCATCTCGGCTTAACTCAGTGAATCAGGAACAAAAGAAGACATTTTCTATATCCAAGACTCTTAGATTTAAGTTCAGGTAAAGTGCACAAGTTCCTTGCTAAAGGAATCCAAATGTGGCCTCTGGATAATTCTAGATCTTCAAGGTTTCTGGAGTCACCCTTTCATTTGATACTCAAACTAAGTTCCTAATAAACTGAGACCCTATTCTTCATTCCATGGGAAGCTCTGTCTCCCAATATCTCCAAGGACTTTATTGGGAGCTGCATTTCTCCTTATTACATTTTACTTTTATTTGTTACTCTCTTATGGTTTCGAATCTCAGTACGTATTTTGCCTCTCGTGGTTGACTGATGTCCCCTTTTTGTTCTCCCATGGTCCAATGCCTTCATTACTCAAAGCACCTTCAACACCAAGCTGTTTTGTACAACCACCTTTTGCTGAAGGCCTAACAGAGCAAGCATCATCTTAGAATTTAATATTCTCCATTGGTCTCCCAAAGTTCTGCTGCTGTACCTGTGGGGGGATTTCTCAATTGTTTGTGCTCATATTATGGGCCTCTCCTCCTTCACTTTAGAGACATTTTCCACTTCCTTCTCTTCAGAATTCAACTTCCTTCCAAGGTCCTCACTTGCAGGCTGATAGAGGCCAACTTCCAATTTCCTACCATGTTATTATGAAGCATACTTTGGTTCTCAGTTACAACTCTTGTTCTAGACCATACCTAGTGTCCTTAGCCTTTATAAATAAAAAATGACCTATCTAGCTGATTTTTAAGCAAAATAATGAGGTACTTCTAAGATGAATGTTGTATATTTCCAGGAGTATCAAAGTTTGTTTCCATTCTTTATACTCTTTTTAGTTTCCGATTATAGTACTATCACACTCCAGCAGATTTACAAAGTCTTTAAAAGCTAAAGATATACTGAGTTATAAAGATTACAATGAAGAATAATACAAATACAAAAATCATCATGTAGTTCTTTAAATTATGCTAATAAAAATATTTATAGATGCAAGTTCCAATGACATAAAAACAGACAATTTTTGGTTTCTAAAGTTTTGTGTCTTAGAATTGTGTATATTTAGAAACTATTCCGTTGCTTTGTTTATTCACAGGTATTTGTGTAGTTCTTTAAAGCAGATAATCTCAGGCCAAAGTTTTTTTTTTTTTTAGTCTTTTTGTGTATCTCTTATGTATTTGGCGAGATCTGTATATCTCATCCATTGAAGATCAACCAGGGGCCAAAAAAGAGGTGGTTTCAATCTCTTCTTGAAACTTAGATCTTTTCAGTGTCATGGTTGAGATGCAGGATATTAGGGAAGAGCTTTGGGTTTGGGATATACCCTATTATTTCTAAATAATGGCCTCCCTCCACTTGACTGATGACCTCCTCCTGCTGAATAATTCATTTGTTTAGACATTCAAGGAATAGTCTCTTGGTATTCATTAAGCATGCTCAATCTAAGAGCGTTATCAGAGAGCACCAGAAATCTGCCAGCTTCTTTGAAAGCCTCTGGTGCTGACAGATGGCAACAGTGCCATTTACTAAAACAACTGGGTTTCAAGTTTTCAGATCTTTAATATTAAGAAGTATGTGATCCCAAGATAAATAAAGGTTTCAACATATTTGTATTCTACATTTGAGAGTTTGGTAGTTATGGGAACAGAATCGGGGGCAAAACTTACCAAGTTAGTGTCTCAGGTCTATCACTTTGTAATCTTATGACTTTGGAGAAGTGACAAACTCTGTGACTGTAAAAGGTGATGGTGTAGTGTTGTTATGAGTGTTGACGTGAGTTAATTACGTAAATTGCTTTGAAGAGTGTCTGGCGCTAGTAAGAACTATATAAGTGAGAGCTTTTATTATTATTCTGTATTAGTAGGTGTGTATTCATATATTATTGACCAAAGAAATGTTGAATTTAAAAAAAATCCTGCAACTTTATAACATATTACTTTAACATTTGGAGTTCTTTTTCAGGACAGGAAGAAGACTGCCTTTTAATTTGTTCCTTAACTCTTTCTCTCTCTTCAGTCTTGATGCCTCCTCTTCCTAGATTTGCTTTTTTGGACAAGACTCTGCCTTAAGTTGATATAATATAAATGGTAACATAGCTCAAAAATTTTTTTTTTCATGTTCATACCTCATGACAATCTGAACATTATAGAAGAAACCTACAGTTAAATATGGGTGGCTACCAAATTTCTGTCAGTGTGGACTGCACCTTTTATTTATGGTTGTAAATCTTGATCTAATATGTGAAGATCTCTAGGATGGTAAAAAATATCTGGAGCCATTGTCTACATTTATTTTTTTTTCAGCCTGTTGCCCTTTAACATTCTTTTGCAAGGATTTTTATGCTCTTTTCACAGGTATAGTGTCTTACATAAAAGAGTCAAATTATTTTCCAACATAAATCAAAACTTTTTACCTATATAAGCTGAAAACAGAACTTGAAACATATCATCAGTGCAACTCTAATGAATGTTCCCTACACATGTCTTCTTACACTTGAGAAACATGCCAAGTGAAATCTTCAAATATATGTTTATACTTTTTCTACTACAGGGATTGATACATTTAGATTTGGATTGAAATATATTATGTTTAGATCACTCTGTGTTTCTTCTTTTATTTCTTTTTTTTTTTCTCTACAGTTTATTGCTTTTGCTTCTTTATTCTTCATCCTGGTTTCAATCACAACTTTTTGCCTGGAGACACATGAAGCTTTCAATATTGTTAAAAACAAGACAGAACCAGTCATCAATGGCACAAGTGTCGTTCTACAGTATGAAATCGAAACAGATCCTGCCTTGACGTATGTAGAAGGAGTGTGCGTGGTATGGTTTACTTTTGAATTTTTAGTCCGTATTGTTTTTTCCCCCAATAAACTTGAATTCATCAAAAACCTCTTGAATATCATTGACTTTGTGGCCATCCTACCCTTCTACTTAGAGGTGGGACTCAGTGGGCTGTCATCCAAAGCTGCTAAAGATGTACTTGGCTTCCTCAGGGTGGTCAGGTTTGTCAGGATCCTGAGAATCTTCAAGCTCACCCGCCATTTTGTAGGTCTGAGGGTGCTTGGACACACGCTTCGAGCAAGTACTAATGAATTTTTGCTGCTGATCATCTTCCTGGCTCTAGGAGTTTTGATATTTGCTACTATGATCTACTATGCGGAGAGAGTAGGAGCTCAACCCAATGACCCTTCAGCTAGTGAGCACACGCAGTTCAAAAACATTCCTATTGGGTTCTGGTGGGCTGTAGTGACAATGACTACCTTGGGCTATGGAGATATGTACCCCCAAACGTGGTCAGGGATGCTTGTGGGAGCCCTGTGTGCTCTGGCTGGAGTACTGACAATAGCCATGCCGGTGCCTGTCATTGTCAACAATTTTGGAATGTACTACTCCTTGGCAATGGCGAAGCAGAAACTTCCAAGAAAAAGAAAGAAGCACATCCCTCCTGCCCCTCAGGCAACCTCGCCTACATTTTGCAAGACAGAATTAAATATGGCCTGTAATAGCACACAGGGTGACACATGTCTGGGCAAAGACAATCGGCTTCCGGAACATAACAGATCAGGTAAGGCACGATTTCAAATGCATGCCATTAAATACTTTATAGACCAGTATGTCCCTGAAATAGAAGGCAAGCATTCTCATTTTCCGCAAATTTTCATGAGTTTTCCGTTCTACCCCTTCACAAAAAATTTGTTTGTGTCAGCCTTGTAGATAGCTAGATTATAGCTTTTCTAAATGAATCCTAAGTAGAAGTCTGCACAGCTGGCTATAGAGCTCTCCTGCTTTAGTGGGAATGCCCTTTGCTGATGGTACCAATATTTTCTTTTGCCTGTTTGTTGCTTTTGTGCCAATGTTTCTTTGTTTCCCTGCACGATGTGATGGTACGATACTGGACATTTTCCATCCTTCATTCTCAAAATGTTGATCTCCATATCATTTGGCTTGGCGTGTTTGTCTCAGTTTTATCTCTGCCACATGGGGCCATGCATTTTAACCTAATTCACAAGAAGAAGATATGTAAGAAGAATGGACGTTTACATTTCAAAGGCCTAAACACCAAAGAGGTGATATGTAAGATGTCCCTTTTCAAAGTAAATAGCTTCCTCAGTAATATTACGGAGGGTTCATTAAGTTTTCATTATTCTTAAATTAGGATATTTCAATATAATCCCTTTGGATTGGGTAAGGTGCTATGTAATATAATCAGCCCAACATTATTCAGGGGCTAGATGATCTGCTTTGGCTAATCAATGGCAAGGTTGAATTTCTCTGTGGATTTCCTTTTTTATGCACTCTGCATTGGGCTTTGTTCCCTCCCAGAACTCAGTTTTGGATGATTTACTGCTTGAATTGCTACTCCTCTCTATTGTCATAAATAATCTAGGGTTGATTGTAAGCTGACATGCAGTTTGCCAAAGTGATAGTCAATAGTGTCATCTCTAGTCTATTATGTCTACTACAGATGAAATATTTTGTAGTTTACACAATTTAGATTTTGTCCGCTATGAAAAGTTAAGGTATATGCATTCCCTATAACTTAGATAGGTTTGATCTTTTTCTTGTAGAAAAATGACTTACTAGAATCCCATGTGAATAATTTTGCATTATTTAGAAATAACACCAATTAAACAAAGCAAGCAAGCAAACAAACAAACAGAAAAGGCAAGTGACATTTTCACAGATTCCCTCCTTAGCTTCCAAAAGTTATTACGGGGTACATGGGGAAAAAAAAAAAAACTGGCTGGAACTGAACTGCTTTTTCAAAGATTTTATTCGCAGTCCTTATGTTTATTTAGTAGATTGTTTTGCAAATTCTGTCAACATGTATCTGAGAATTGTTATGCCAGGAATGTCTTTATGAAAGGTGAAATTTAGTTGGTGTTATTGCTCTCATTAGACTGCTCTCACGTACTTGCGCAGAGCCCATATGAAGGGCATGGAAATGAGGACACACTCTCAGCCTGGGCAAACATTGTTATAAGTTAGTATCTAGGCTGATAGGATGTGAAAGTCTTTGGCAAAAGCATATAGAAGTAAACAGTTGTTTCAAGGGCATTTGAGAAGTTGAACTTTTTCCACTGGTATGCTCAAAAATATTATGTCACCTCAAAATAGAGAACCTGGACATGAAGTTTGTGAACTTCAGGATTATTTTCATTACAATTTATTGGGGAAAATTACTTTCAGAAAATAATAAAAGCATGCGTCTTAAAGCACTGCAAAGACAAATATTTACTTAGGAGTTTTTCCTTCAGTAGGCTCCACTTTCAAAGATGTCTATTTGCATTAACTAGATAACATGTCAAAAATGGAAAGATATTAACTTGTGTGCTACTTCATTATCACACTTATTTTGAATTCACATTAATTTTGTAAAAGTTATTGTCCTATTAGATAAAATCCAAAATGAAGTTAAAATTTCCCAAACAACATTTCTCTCCTTTTCAGTACATTTCCATTTTGCTCCACATAAATTTTTGTAATGAGTGATGAAAATTCTTTTTCTTATCATGATGTGATTATTGTGTTTTGTATATCGAGTGACTGTACTATGGACATTCGGCGTAAACTCTTTGTACTGTCTCATTTCCTCATCCATCACTGTCTGTCAATGGGCATGGTGCTGTGACCAGTGCTATCAGGTGACGACAGTACAGGAAGTGAGCCGCCATTATCACCCCCAGAAAGGCTCCCCATCAGACGCTCTAGTACCAGAGACAAACACAGAAGAGGGGAAACATGTTTCCTACTGACGACAGGTGATTACACGTGTGCTTCTGATGGAGGGATCAGGAAAGGTAGGCATGCATTTAATCAGATCCTAACAGGTGACTTAGCAATTAAATGCTGCAAATATATGGAGTGCTGTAAAATGCTCTTTCATCATTTTCTAGGAGCAACTGTGCAATCATGGTGCTCTTTTCCTCATCATATCTTCTCTCTTTATAAACATTTAAAAATACATATCATAACAGCCGACTTGATTGTCATATCTAAAAGGCATTTCACCCTTCTTTTTTTTTTTTTTACATTTTGGTTTTTCATTTGTCTATGGGCAGAATTGTAATGAAGTATTTAAAAATTAAGTCACTCGTCTAATTACTTTAATACAATGGATTCAGCAGCCTTTAAAAGTTATCTTTTTTCCTACAATGAATTAAACTCACTAATTGACACTATGCATATATTTGATAAGTAATTAATAATTTAAAACAATAATAAAGCTTTTTTCAAAGTAAAACATTAAACGTACTCTAGTTGTCTCTTATCCAGTATTTGGGCAACTTTTCCTAGTGGTTTACCTGAATGTCAGAAGGTTGCTAAGGTACAAGATCCTCAGCCATATAGAACAATATACCCAATCACTGGAAAGGCTACTTGTGTACTTACAAAATGTATTGATGGAATTTTTCTTCAGGGCAGTAATAATTCTAAGTTTATTATTTTTTTCATTGACACTGAACAGTGCGTGGCACATAGAAGATACTTAATAAATATTTGTTGAATGAATACATTGTATCGGACAGACATCTTTGTTAAGGAATATAACAGGATACTGAAGCTCCACTCCAGCACAGTTTCATTTCCCTAGATTGTGCCAGGTGTCTATGACTATTCCTTAGGTGCTAGTTTTTGTCTTTGTTTTTGTTTTAGTAAATTTTACAAACCAACAGTTGGACCCTTTTCTTCTCCTTAAGAAATAGTTTTGTGACAATTATAACCCACCATTGTCAAAGTGCTGGTATGCTCTTAGATTACCTCCTACTTTGAGAATTCCAGTGGCTTTAGTGTCATGGTTATTTTTCTCTGTTTATTGACAGAATAGAGAAAGAACTATTAATTTCTTATGAAGAAATAATAATTTCTTATGCAGTTGACTGAATTTGAATGAAAAGCCACTCCAAAACTTTCACGTTAGTGCAAGTGCATTTTTAAAATATTGTGCTTATTTGCTATTCATTGCAGTTTCTTCCTATTGAATACTTTACCATTTTAAGCCTAAAATATTTATTTTGTGATGACTACTTTCTTTGAAATAGCTCATTACCCATGTTGTGCTTCTCTTTCATTTCTTCTGAGCACTTTACATTGTTCTTTCTGTCTCCACACCTGTGAGTCGCGAAAGAGAAGACAAAGGACTCTTCTTTTGTTTCTTTAATATGTAATATTTTAAATATTTTAAATCCTTCTTTCAATCTCTACATCTATCCCTTGCACCAAAATGTATTTCAATCATCTTAAGAGATTTATTTGATTTTTTTGCTATTTTACATTTAAATATCATGTTACAACAATTTTTAAATATTTTATAAAGATAGTTAATATTCTGTCATAGTATTTGAGCAAAATATATGTACATATATTAAATAATAATATCTAACTAATAATATAGAACATAGTATTTTAAGTGCATTGTAATCTTAAATCACTATACATGTATATACATATATACTTATACATGTATATATGTATTTTTATGTAATATGTGGTTAGATTTATGTGCATTTTGAGCATCATTCAATAGAGGATCACATGCAATATTTATACTAGGGTTACATGTTTAAGGATCTAGATAGAATTTTTTTTTCTAGGTTAGAAAATATTTTGAATTTTAAACTGTCAAAGGGGATCACATTTGAAAAAAGACTACAAATTATAAAGCACTATATAAATATAGTTTTTCCATAAAATAGCAAACTTTCATGAGCAAAGCAATTCATAAGATATTCAGTTTATATGAGAAAACTATACATTCAATCTTATTTCACAAATACAAATTCTATCAGTGAGAACATCTTTGAAAACTCATCTATGAGCTTTTTATTCTTTGTCATTTCTCACCATAATCAACTTCGTTTTCATTCTTGCCCAATTCTTTTGCAGATTTGTGTTCTTTTCCTAGGTCTGATAACATTTCTGGCTAATTTCACTTAATCTTCTCAGTGTCTTATTTTGTCATGTCTATTAGAAATCCATTCATTTCTTCTCCTTTTTCCTTTATGTAGATTAGAGATGTCTCCTATTACTCCTACTCAGATATTTATTTCCTATATGATTTCTTCCTTGCCTTTCAAATTGGTTTCTACCTTAACCTGATTTTAGAGTTATGAAAATTCTCCCCTATGTACATGAGATAAATGACTGGATTCCCACTGTATTATTTTTCTATCAACAAATGTAAATGTAGTTGGGCATACATTAAGAAAACATGTGGATTCCCTAAAAGAGTAAACTCCCAAAACTTAGAACCTGTGTTTTCATTTATATAGTAGTTTTATGAAATCATTTTACATGAACACAAACATACCCACTGATAGTACATGAATAGGAAGTTTCAATACTGTCCCAAACTAATATGTGCTCTTAAAAGCTGTATAAAGTGTATACCATGTATTGGGTTCAACATTGTTTATTCTCATGAATTATATTTTTAGTCATTCCATTCAGTAGCAGTTTGATAAGGCAAAATTTTATCAAATTTTCTGTTCATAAATGAACCTCCAGAATAAAGGAACAATATATTTATATGAATAACTTATAATTTTAGTAATTAAATACTTGTTACTAAATTTTAAGGGAAGCCTTCTCAAATGGACATTGAAATCATAGTTATTAAAAATAAAAGACCTATAAATAGAATAAATAATATTTATGTTAATAACTATAATTCAGAAAAGTAAACATTGAGAATGGCAACCAAGATTTACATGTAACTAGCATGATTAATGTAAATTGTCAAACAGATTTTTTACCTTTTTGGAAGTCTTATAGAGAACATGGTGACAGTGAGGACAAAAGGTACATTTTTATAAGGATGAATTTTAGTTATTAACAACCTCTTTGTTTCATACATATTCACTAGTTTGCTTTTAATCAAAACCAATCAATGTTTATAGTCTAGTTTACATTTTTCGGTTACACTAAAAATCCAAGTCAACTTGTATAAATTATTCTTTCTACAATTTCCAGTGATATTTCCAATCGCATTACAGAAGAGTAGTGATAACTAGCCCTCCAGGCACGTGAAGATCCCTATGTAAGAAAAAATGACTTGCAATTCCTTTTTAATTATTTAAGACATTCTCCCATTAACTACTCCATTAGCTACCAAAGGAGAATGAAATATATACCACCTCCCATGCTTTATAGCTCAAAATACTAACAAAATATATAGGCAGGTAATTTTCTCATTAGCAGAAATTATGTCCTAGAGAACTTCATTGTAGTTAATGGAGGACATAAATTTCCATCTACAAAATATCAAAGAAGACATCTAATCTGCTGAAAGTTTGTGGGTGTATATGTAGGGAGAGGTTCCTATTATTCCAATCTTACCCCACAGTAGAGCTATTTAGTTTTCCTATCTACAACACTTTTTTCAGTGGAGCTGTCAGAACATTTATTTGCTAAGCTGTATAATATAACGACTTTTTCAGTTAATAGTTGCCCGGCTTTTAAGACAATTTTACTTCTAACTTTATACTAGGTACTCCCTTCCTCATTTACCTGCCTCTAATCTTTTCTAATAAAAAATACTGCAATATATGAATCCTTCCAAAGGTGACCTTGATGGGGTGTTGCTTGAGTAGCTAAGGCAAATCAATAGGTTAGAGCTTGTGGGAAGTATCTTTCATTCTGTAAATTCATGATGATCATGAACAAAAGATTAGAATGCACGATAATAGAAAGAAAAGGTGGATTAAGATCAAATTGTTCTCAATTCCTGGCAGGGGAGAGTCAGCTGAAAATATATAATCAAAATCAGACTTTAATTTGCTAAAATTATGACTCAATTTATATTCATTTCTTTTCTTTTTTTTTTTTACTTTTTTTTTTAAATACAAGGGATTAGAAATGGGCATTCATTCTACATCATCTAGATAATGGCGTTAAAAACCATTATTTAGGAATCATCCTTTTAACCCCATAAGGCTGGAAGATTAAATATGCTGGAAAAGAGTTGTCCACTTAAAGTTAAGCATGCTTTATTAGCTTAGTAATAATAAAAAGTGAAAAGAGAAAAAGTAGCTCATTTTTTTTAAGGAACATATTCTGAAATTTAAAAATATTTGCCAAATTTATATCTTACTTAAGTTGCTTTGCCTAATTCTTAAAAGCTTTCTGATATTGTGTATGCCAAAATTACATCAATACAGACTGTAATCTGCGAACGAATAGATTTTGAAGTATTGCAACAGTAATTTGTGATAGCTGGTTTAATCTTTTGGAAGTGACAACTACAGTGAGCTTCATTTTTTTTTTTTTTAGAGTTGTAAATTGTCTCAATATTGAATTCTTTGTAAACAAATTCTTTGAGCTCAAAAATAGCACTTTTGATTACCCTGCATGATATTGTTTGTCTTTGTCTATTTTCTGGTTGAATTCAACTGATGTCTGTGCATTTTTTCATAAAAGGATATGAAAAATCCCGAAGCTTAAACAACATAGCGGGCTTGGCAGGCAATGCTCTGAGGCTCTCTCCAGTAACATCACCCTACAACTCTCCTTGTCCTCTGAGGCGCTCTCGATCTCCCATCCCATCTATCTTGTAAACCAAACTGCATCAGTCGGCTTAATTGTCTTAATTCAAGTACTGTTTACCCCATAATGGAAATAATTAAACATAGACTTACTCCAAGCTCCATTAATACAGTACCAATCCTGCATGATACTACTATCTGAAGTCAGAAATGCCATTTGGGTAGCCAACAAATCTTATCCTGGCTTTAAATGAATCTTATCCTGGTAGTGCTACTACTTCTCCATATTAATTGCCCTGATCTCCTTTTGCAATAAAATGACAGATAGCATCAGATACTGGCCAGTACCCTAATACATAAACATATCTTCAGGGAGATATATTTAAACCAGTGTGCTTCCAAATGCCAACCACTTCATGGGAACTTCATTTCTTGTGACTCTCTAAACCATTCTGAAGATGTCTGGGATTCTATTTTGATTGCTCACAACATGACTTTGGTCAGCTCATTTGCATGGACCATCTTGTCTCTATCACCTGAAAGCAATGTCACAAAGTTCGGGGACCATGGATGGCTCGGGATATGTGTACTTGCATCGAACCATCCTGCTGATGCGAAAGCACTGGTCGACTGTTCTGCATGTTGAATTGTGGGGCATGGAGGGCGAGTTTCTCCCTGACATTTTTTTTTTTTCTTATTCTTTGAAAAAAATATTTGTCTTAAAAGATTTAATTTCTTGATTGATTTACTTTTGTTCCAAAATGCTGTATTGGAGTTCTGAATATCTCTGGTTGTTTGCACACAGATAACTGCAAAGAGGTTGTCATTACTGGTTACACGCAAGCTGAGGCCAGATCTCTTACTTAATGGCTTGGGGAAGGCACAAAACATGAGAGAAAGGTAACTGCCAGCCAGGCTTGCATTGTTTAGATAGGAATTGCTGCTTGGTACTAGAGTCATATATTTTTTTTAAATCCCAGAATTTGTCATCATTTTCGGAGGCAGAGTGCCAAATATCATTCAAAGCTCTTGTCATTTTTACCCCCTTCCTTTATTTTAATTATTAATTTTTTTGCAAACAACAAGGAGCATTGTTGTTCACAGGAAGCTTTCTTGACCAGCCTTAAATTTCTGACTCACAGGATTAATCAGATTTTCAGGCAGTATTTAATCAGGTGCTTTGTCCTGTATGTTGTTCTGTCCGTTTGTCTTAGCTCCCTGTCTTAAGTGTATATGCCATCTGTCTCCATGAAGCACAGAAATGCCTTGATAAGGTGTTCATGATTTTAGTACTGGGTCTTCTCCCCTGCCCCTTGCCTTCTTTGGTTACTTGGAACAAGCCTCTCTGCTTGTTCACTCCAATGAAACCCCCAGGGTGTCTTATTCAGTCCAAGTGGAAGAAATTCTGTTTACACATCCCTACAAATGCAATAGCAGTAGTGTGTCTGGTGTACTGGGCATGAGAGGGAGGAAAAATGTCATACTATAAATTGAGAGATAAACAATATTTCAGAGGCATTTAGGATCCTAGAGACTGCTAATTCCTAATGCTCATGTTTATTTTCAGTTAGGAAGATAATTGTCACTTTTATGATTGGCCACATAACAAGTACTACTTTATATTCCTAAGTCCTAGAGCATGACCTGCATGTCAAAGACCTTGTACAGCAATGTATTTACTCAGACATAAACATCTGATATTTAGAGATCCAGTGATGCTTTTGATAACACCACACATAGAAAGTTATAATTACACACAGCTTTATGGTAAAGAAATTAATATACTGTCTGGTGCTGCTGTTATTGACTGCAGTGTTGTACAGAATTTATCATGGATTTTTGACTGCTGAAAAAGGGACTGTGGAATTTAGCCATACCAAGGACTGTACTGGAAACAGATTTCTGCTGCTGAATGTGCCCTGATGTGACCAGGTTGCACTTGGAAGAGATCCTCCCGTCTTCATGAGGCACTAAAAGTTCGTAAAAGAACTGTGGATGGAACTCATTTGGTGCTCCCCATATGAGTGGTCTGCTTGTGGACTGGCCAGCGTCCATGAAACAACTGTAAATACCAGCGTGTGTGCATGGATCAACAGCTTTGGCCATCTCACGTCAAAGGAAGCCAAATTCATGATCAACATCTCTGGAGCTTCAAGTAAGGCCCATACCTCTGTGAATTACCACCTCATGGAGTTGCAGTAGATTGTGCTGTGAATCATAAAAGCAGTGATATTGGTGTAGTATAGGTCTGTCTTAATTTCCCTTATTTCTCCTTTGTTGGTTGGATCCACAAACACTAACTGTATCATTTTTTTAATAAACCACTTATATGATCAGCTTGTCAGATTACGTTGTGAAATTTTCAGTGCCTATTTATCAAAACTGACCTATTTTGAATCCCACATTTGTTTAAGTTCTGAAAAATTGTTTGACTTAAAAAACTCACTAATATTACTTATAGTTTAAGTGTTTTGTCATTGTTACCTCAATTATTAATATTACAAAAAATAAAATTCTGGCAATGAGATTATTTTTTTATTAAATGATCAAGGAACAATGTCAGTATATAGTAGAATATTAATTGAATTATATCCTAAAGTGTATATTTTGCATAAAAGAGATATTCTTCAATCAATTACTTTTTTGTGTTTTGTGGCAAATTAAGCTTGTACTTGTCTTTAAAACTGTTGTAGTTGAAACTGTATAAGAATTCTTCACCTTGCTTAATCAGTATTTCCAGAATCTATTAGTTCCCCTGGGATTCTGAATATAACATATAACCTAATTATGAACCTCTGTATCGTGGACCTTTTGTGAACATCTCAAGGTGCATGCACATCCTTGTTGATAATTGATGGAAATGTAAATAACTGAAATGAAGAATAAAAGGCAAATAAGCTGGGGATAAACTTGAATCCTATCTGATTAAATTCTTCATATTCTTTTCTTGGCTCTTCTCTTTGTTTTGGAGTTTTCAACAGGCTTTACTATTTTTATGCATCATGATACCAAACCTAATACTCATACATTATAAAAAATTTGAGATGAAAGGATTTATAAACATACATAGCTCACATTTTCATTTAAGTCTTAGGCATGTAGCCAGTGTCTTCCTTTTCTAAGTGCTTTTTTCTCTTATGATTCAGAAGTGGTAAAATTATGAATTATTATGGTATTTGATTTTTATATGGCATTTTATGACTAATACTGAATTTTCACTTGCACTTTCCAACTTAATTATCACAGAGATTCTGGAGGTAAATATTTTTTGTTTTCATTTTATTGGTGGTGAAGTGAAGGATCACAGAGGCAAAACTGTGTCACAGATAATTTCCCCTGTCATAGTTTCTTATGGTTTAAATATTTACTGAGCCTCTTGTTGTAAATACTTATCTTCCAAAGATGGCTTCTGTCTCACTTTTGGGTAATGGACCACTGTTTCAGCAGCGCACCACACGTAGCTGACATTCCATTTGTATTGGGGGGTTATGTGTAAATTTATCCTGTAAATTCTATGATGCCAACAGGATTAGAGGAAAGGTAAAATGGAAAAGAGAAATAAGGTTGGGTAATCCAACACTTTCCCATAATGCATCAACAGAATCTTTTCTAGGTCTAAAAGTGCTCAGTGTTGATTATTAAGAGACTATTAAGAAACTGAGATTCAGAAAAGGAAATCTGTCTAAATATAATTACTGATAAAAAGTTTTTAATGATTGTGTCAGGATGTAGGACTCACTGTAAAAAGGGAAAATATGTAGGATGCGGAAAGAATACATTTTAATAGATAATTGACATCAAATTTTGATTAAAAAATCAAGGTTAAATAGCCATGAATGAAAAGTGAAGATATTCATTTTATCTTTGAAATAAATCACAAGACAGATGAATTGAATAGCAACAGTGAACTTAACTTGGAAAGAGACAATGAATATATTAAAAGGCTATAGTACCAAGCAGGGACTTTGGAGGATTTATAACATGCTTGAAGACATTTAGAGCTAAATGAATCTGTTAAAAAATTGAAATCCTTAGCAGTTTATGATGATTAAAATATGTGGTTTAAAATTCTCCTTACTGAAAAAAATTGTCATCCTTCCTTCCAATTTCCCCTGCCAAAATTTAATGAATTGTTTAAATACTTGGACACTATTAAACTATAGATTTATACAAATTTTCCCTAACATGGTTGCTGTGTCATTAATATTCATCTTAAATTTTGTTATTTCCTGTTCTCCCCTAAAATAATTGTTTTCATTATTGTCTAAAAATTAAATAATTTAATTGAATTAGTATTACATGATTTCTTTTTTTACTTATCAAACCGTCATGTCAAAGTGACAGATCACTGAATATGCATTTTGAACATTAAAATGTTCAAAGACTATGGATCTTCCATTGAGGATCCCAGGTACCTAGCACTCAATTTTTAAGAAATGAACTATATTTTAGAGCAGTTTTAGATTCACAGCAAAATTAAGCAAAAAGTACAGAGTTCCCATTTATCCCCTGCCCCCCACCACGCACAACATCCCCGACTATCTGCATCCTACACCAGTGATATTTGTTACAAGTGATGAACCTGCATTGATGCATCATTATCCAAAGTCCATAGTTTACATTAGAGTTCATTCTTTTTTTTTTTTTCGGTACGCAGGCCTCTCACTGTCGTGGCCTCTCCCGTTGCGGAGCACAGGCTCCGGACGCGCAGGCTCAGCGGCCATGGCTCACGGGCCCAGCCGCTCTGCGGCATGTGGGATCTACCCAGACCGGGGCACGAACCCATATCCCCTGTGTCAGCAGGCGGACTCTCAACCACTGCGCCACCAGGGAAGCCCAAGAGTTCATTCTTGGTGTTGTACAGTCTATGGAACTTGATAAATGTCTAATGACAGGAATCAATTATTGAAGAATAATTTCACTGCCCTAGAAATCCTCTGTGCTCTAACTATTTACCCCTCCCCTCATCTTGGCAACCACTAATCTTTTTATTGTCTTCCTGGTTTTGTCTTTTCTAGATGTCATACAGTTATAATCATATAGGATGTAGTCTTAGATTGGCTTCTTTCTCTCAGTGGTACGCACTTAAGGTTGCTCCATGTTTTTTCATGGCCTGATAGCTTATTTCTTTTTAGTGCTGAATAATATTCCATTGTCTGGATGTACCATAGTTTATCCAGTCACCTACTGAAGTTGCTGGGTTGCTTCCAAGTTTTGGCAATTATGAATAAAGCTGTTACAAACATTTGTGTTCAGGTTTTGTGTGGGCATATGTTTTCAATTCATCTGGGTAAATACCAAGGTGCACAGCTGCTGGTATTTACACTCATTTTTTTTTTTTATTTGGTCCCCTGACATATTTATCAGAACTACTTTTCTCCTAATTCATCTTCTTACTGTCAATCATGTGAACCACACAGGAGTTATTTATAAATCTGTCACTTCACTTCAAGCTGTAAATATGTTGATTGATTATCCACCAACAGATTTTTCTCTGTAAAAGTAATTTATTTTACAAAAAATAGTAAAAGCTCTTATAGAAATCAAAAAAGTTTAAAAAATTAACTATAATTCCATAATTTTCCACTCCACAAATCAAATGTTTTTGTTTTATCAATTTGCCTTTTTTCCCTTTTGTTATTTTCACTTTATAATACTAATGTGTGTGTGTGTGTGTGTGTGTGTGTATCTAACCTATCATTCAAGTCATGCTGCAATTTGGCCTACTACCTTTCTAGCCTCTGTTCATTCTCTCTCATGTACGGTGTTCTAACTATGTGCGTGTTCATGGAAACATCCCAGGGCAACACAGATGAGTCAGACATCCTTCCTAGCATTGAAAACTTCATCTACTATGTTGATCTCTAATTCTGGCTCTGCATCAGAAAAACTGTTGGTGTCCTTTGAAAAAACTAATGCCAGCGCTCAACTCTAAACTTTTGAAATTATATCTGGAGATGAGTCCTAGACATACACTGTTTTTAAAAAAGACTTAGCATATATATTATTAACAAATGTAACAGAACAAACAAAAAATTAGCATGAATTAAGCTATTATAGATTTTAGAAATATCATGCCCCTATTTACTATATAGCTAGTCTTTTACTAGCAGACCAACCAAGTACTTCATTAGGAAATTCTTTTTTTTTTTCATAGTCCTTAAATGTGATTCCAAATTTGAGGAGCCATTTAAAAAAATTTTTGTGCATGTATTATAAATCCATAGAGTTTAAATCTTCATTTCTCAGTATATTTCTTATAATGAAAAATGATATAAGGACATACCATGTAACTCAAGATCAAGTAACTTATTTCTGAGGGAAACTCAATTTTTTTGATTTTTGTTATAAATTTGATAAACACTTAGACTTTTGTCTATGAGCCAGGAAGTGTTGTCGTCACACCACAATGATTAAAATTTCTTTGGCATTAGTGAAAAATTCACATTTATCTTAGGAGTGGTGAATAGTGACATGAAACAGCTAGCATATGAAAGGATTCTTAATGTAATTTGAAGGTGGTAGTTTCTGAAACCTTTGATTAAACCTTTCTTTAACCAATGGGCTCAGTGTTTTTATTTCCTTTTGAGATCTGTTAGCAATGAACTGAACTCTTATTTAAAACCAATTCTTTCTTAATGGCCAAGAGAAAGTATATTACTTAAAGATATGCCTAATTTTCTGATCAAAAATAAAACAAAACAAAACCTGTAATTTTATTGCAAAGGATTAAGCATGAAGGCAGTACCTAAGGACTGAATGTATATTTCTTTATTTTTTTCTTTTTTTCCCTGAGAGCTCACATTTTACCAGTAATTTGGTCTCTCTGGAAACAAAGGGCGCCAGTTTAAACACTCTACAGTGATGTTTACTCCTGTTGCAGTAGCTGTTCCTTATCACACTGGGTGCTGGCAGGAAGATTAAAAAAATCATGGGAATTCTGGACAGATGGCTGATAGAGAGCATCAGAATCTAAGATAGTAATGATTAAAACACACACGTATATACCGCTGGATATTCAGAGACAAAGAAAAGCCAAAGATAGAGCAGCAAACGCTGAATATTGCCTGAAGCAAGGTCATTTAGTGGGAAATAAACAAAAGGACAAGTCAAAGGTAAAGGAATAATTATATAATTCTGCTTCATAAGCCATGTTAGAATAAATTCTGCACAAAAGGACCAGACATTCTTTTCACTGGAGACCTTGAAAGGTTTGCATTACATCACAGGGGGCTAGAGAAGAGACCATCAATTTTCACATTCCCTAACGAAGAATGAATTTAGACAGTTTTCTCTTAGATGCTCTGTTTTTATTTGCTTCTTTCAGTTTTGACAAAGAAATATCCTTTCTTTACTTTTACATTAATGTTAAGGTTAAATGTTTTCAGAACCAACTGATGACTGTCAAAATATAAAATACCACTAGCTTTATATTTGTTTTGATCTGTGTAAAATGTATTTGTACAAGTTTTTAAAACTTTA